ATTTATTTATTTATTTATTTATTTATTATTATTATTATTTTGGGATAAGAATGAGGCTCAAACAAGGGCTAAATATTATCAATCAAGAATTGGAATGTTTTATTAATGAACTGTATAATTTCTGTTTAAGCAAATATAAAAATAATGAAGGCCTTCGTTCCTCTACAAGCTATGCTGCAACTTTTAAAGGTAAAGCTTCTTTTTTATTTCGAGATAGTTATAAAAGGTCATGGCGAGCATATTTTAACATTGGCACGGACACTTCACATACTGAATTAGAAATATATTATCAATTCGATCACTATAATTTAATTCCTGAAGACGAAGTATTAAATTTTAGATATCTTAATATGGCGGAAAATAAACGAGAGATCCTACTCAATAATATAAAAAATGGCAAGAAATTTACTAACAGTTCCGATATCAACATTGGCATTCGGATATTTTTTTAGTGTAGGTGACAAGGCATTGGATGAAAGAATGTCAATGCTCAAGTAAGACATTTTAGAAGCTCTTATATGCTTGAAAGATTAGATATTCACCGCTAAGAGAGAATGCAAAATAAAATGATTAACAACATCACTTGAGATTTCAAACAAGTAATGCCCTTGTACACCGAGTCACTCCCCTCACATGAGGGGAGGAGCCCACGCCCAATTAACGCGCGGCCCCATCCCCTGTGAAGGGGCTGTACACCGAGGTGGCATTACTCATTTCAAACACCTTGCAAAAGAAGTCTTAGAAGACTAATTTGCGAACATAATGATTTAAACAATTGAATTATAGTCGAGTGCCAACTTAGTCGAACTATTCCTAAATTATATATACACAAATGATTGGTGTTGAGTACATGCCAATCTAGTTGGGATAACTTTAACTGTAGTTACTCAGTTGTAGCATATTTTAGAATTATTTATTTATTATTATTATTTTTTTTTATGAAGTTTGAAACAAATCAATATGAATCAATGCAATTTTTTGCATATGTTAACGTTAATATTATCTTTGTTATTTATTCTTCATTTTGTAGTTAAAATTTATATCAAATAAATGATGATTTTCCTACCGCAAGCATCATTGGGGCGGCTGCAAGTTCAGTTTTAAATTTAAACTGCCAAACTGTTTAATGGACTAAAAAATACTGATAATAAAATATTAAAAGAATTAAGCTGCATGATTGATATTAAAATCTTATTTATAAGCTGATTATTGTTTAAAATAAAATTCTTTTACCTCTACAATGTACAATTAAATTTTTGCAATCTAAGAATATATGGGAAACAAAAAATGTTGAAATTTATCCTGAGACCAATTTATCTGGTAATTGATGTTTAAAAATACGGCCTTTTATAAGAAGAAAGTGACAACCTTAAATTAAACATATGTTTGGTCACTATTAAAATTAAAATTTATTTTTCTCCCTCTGTTTTATCTAATACACATTCTCCAACAAAATAATATTGCACATTTTTCCAAAACTTTTTCTTTTTTTTAAATCACACATTCTTTGAAAAAAAAAAAAAACTTTTCTAACCAGTATAGTTTCAAATATTAAGCGCCAAATAAGGTGTTACGCTACCGCGACAGCTTCAGTGCTTGTTTGGTAAATATTTTGATAATTAATTTTTTGACCGTTAGAGATAAAGTGGATCTTACATGTGAGAGAAGAATTCAAAAATGACGGTCGAAATAGTGAAATAACGGTTAAAAAATTAATTTTAATTAGTTTTTAAACTGTATCAAACAAGCTCTCAATTTAAGGTTGTCACAGTTTAGCCTCCAGCCCGGCCCGAAGACCTCATGAAATTGAGAAATTCAGGTCTGGTCCTCTAAAAAAAGGAGCAAATCAGATCAATACAAGAAAACAAATTAAAACCTTCCATAATCGTAATTAATATGCTGACAAAAACCCCAAAATTACCAAACCTCCCATAGCCTGTCATTTATAGAAAATGTTTTGCCATAGTAATATTTCAAATGACTCCCAAAATGACAGAATTGTCAAACGGCAAATCACAATTGATCAGTGGAACAAACGGTTTTTCCAACAACCAACACAGAATTGCCAAGTGGCAATTCGATCACCCAGAATGTCACCCTGAGTGTTAAAGTAGCAAAACTATTATAGAAAACCCTAACCATCCACCACGCGATTAAGAAGAAACCCGCTTCATCCACAGGAAAGAAAAAGGCAATTCACCCACCTATTGACGGCCCCCACACATGTGACACCACTGATTAGTAACTTGAACCATGGTTGAAGAAAATGAATCAAAGGGGATGAAGAGAAAATCAAGTTTAAGTTTCTTTACAAGTTTAAACCTAATGTTAATTCATATTTTCAATGTTTTAAACTTGTTTATGACTTTTATTTTGAAATGCTTATAATATTGTGTATTGTACCTTATGTTTTGTGCTTGTTTTCCTAAAAATCGGAGCAATTTAATGTTAGATATAATCCATAAAATGCTACGTGGATTCCTATTTATGAAATGTCAATTTCTGCTTATGGAGCTCCTTATTTCTTTTACCAATTAGAGGTCATATAGTTAGGATATGTTGCATTAGATGGAGGAAAATCTGAACTCTAGATTCCATTTAAATATTATTGATATTGTTTCTTTCTATTAGTTATTGGAGAGTAGCTGAATGTTTTGGTCAGCTTTGTTCATCCTATTCTGGTCATGCTTTGCTCAGCAATATATTGCTTCACCCAGACAAAAAAATTTGCAGCCATATACAATTCTTTCATGTTGTATATTTGCTATATTTAATCAGCTCTACCTGTTTAACATTACATTTCATTTTTCTCTCTCCTATTTTCAATCACACAATCTTCTATAAAATAGTATTGCACGTAAATAAATTTTTTTTTTTAACTACTCATTTTTCGGAAAAAATACGATTCCACCCATTTTCTTTTCCACAAAATGGGGGCCAAATGGAAATATTATTTGTCACTTTTTGATTTGTTGTAACTTTTTTAACTTTTGAAGATAATATGTTAGTTAATTGAAGTGAAACGTAATCACAATCAGAGAACATGTAAAATAAAATCAACCATCCCCTAAATTTATTCTGAGATTTTGCTTGGTGTTAAATATGGTTTATGATGCAAAACACAATTAGGTGTCAAATGAGAGGCGAACGTGATTGTTGATGAGACACAGAAGACGATGTATCGATAAGGCAATAACCTGTAAATGGTATTGAAAATATGTTAGATGACAGATAATTTGTGTAAGACTAACAAGCTTTGATTAACAATGATGGTGTTTGTACACTTATTATTATTATTGACATTTGCATTTTTTGGCCTTTTCATTATAAAGTGCATAACTTGTTGTGCCACTTTTTAATTAACATATCGGAATCAATCAATTTCTAATATAACAATGCATCTTTGATAAGCTTTCAATTTGCTTGTAAGAATTTCTTTTAGATGTTAATTTATTTTGTGTTGTGTTGACTGTTAATTAAGCTTCGTGATAGAGAAAATGAAGTTCTAAATCACTTTTTATTAAAAAGTGACGTAGTGATATATGTAGCTGAGGCATCCCAATAGACTAGTAGACTTGACCCTTGAATCTTGTTACTGCATGACCTGATGAATTTGGTTAGGCTCTTGTCATCTATTTTCATTCTTCAACTTTTTTGACGACATGAAGCCTTCCCTCTCCATCTATCTAACCTTGGATGGAAAGATAGAGGCCTTTGGTGTCCCCTGTAGTTAAGAATTGGGGTCTCAATATCGCTAGCCAACATTGCAAAATTAAAAAGTCTCACTTTGTTTACACAATATTTTTCACTTTCAAAATACTTTTTCATATGATTTTTTAAGAGACTTGTGATTTTAGGAATATTTCTGTATGTTGCCAATGGAAGTTTTCAAAGTTGTGGGCAATCCTCGAGCCTATATAAATTTCTGTGGGCCAATTTTGGTTCGACTCGCTAATTTGCACTACCAAGTTACCTAGGGGCCAGATTATCTAAGCCCATCCGTTTAAACACCTATAATTTATGAGAAAATTATCTAAAACCCTACTTCTCAAGTTTACAATTCAAAAGCAAGGGGATAAAGTTTAAAATTCATAAATTAGGTTGTAATTGCCCATTTTTAAATTAATAAAAACAAAGTTATTTTGTTAACCGTTTATCTATGGGATCTAATTTGGACCGTCCACATTTTTCAACTCTCTCTCTCTCTCTCTCTCTACCATGTCATTCAAACCACGTCCCTCCCTATACCATATAGAAAACCCCCTTTCCCTCTCTCTACAATACAGAAACCTACATCTCTTTCTCTCTACCATACATAACTCATCTTTCTCTTTCTCTACCATTTTCAACCATACAATACTTCTTCATACAACTCCCAATCGTCGTCATTATCATCGGAGATTCATCATGAAATAACCATATTACATCTTAAGGTTCAACTATAGTATTTTAAAATGGTTAGAACTCGTTTTGTTGATGTGAATATAATGGAGAAGGATAAAGGAAAGAGGAAAAAAGTTGTCAGAGATTCTTCTTCAGCAAAGAGAGTCAAAATGCCAGACTCTGGCGGGAAATCCATGAAGAAGGTAAAATCTGATTATGTGTCTTGATATGTGAAATTTGTGACCTATTTTTGACTAATTTGTGATTTGATTTGGGTAATTTTGCAATCGAAATATCATCTTGTAACCTATTTTGGGTATTTTGTAATTTGAAGGGTTTATGACTTATTTTGTATACTGTTTTATCAATTACTATTTATGTGAACTGAATATATTTTCTAAAGTGTGCTGGATTTTCCGTGAATAAAATACGTGTTATGACTATCTACTATTATGTGTTATGATTTTGAAGAATTTGTGATCAACTATTTATCATCTGAATATTAATATGTTGGTCACAGTGAAATGTTTATGGATTGGAGGTCACATTAACATGTCTCACATTACGATCGCGTGGGAATGTAAATATTTAATAAAACCAAGGAATTGGTTCTTTGGGAAGATCACTATAACACCAATATAGAGTGTCATCATGTACTTTGTAATGAAATTAATTACTACCTAGAGGGAAATTCTAGAAAACACGTTTCTTAGTACAGTCACACCTGATTCACCATGTCTTGCTACAAGAGGTAAAGCAACCTATCAAGCAAAAAATGTGGTTCAACATACATGAGAGATATATTTAGTTCTCCATTGCTGAATCCTATTTGGCCACTGGATTGCGGTATGATGGGGGTCGATGATCGATCGGTGTTAGATGAAAAACGTCTGTAGTAAAGGATGCATATTTTAGGGACTTAAAAGTTGTCATAAGTGAAGATGTCAAAAGAGTATATCTTTCATTGAACGATGCACTAGACCATGACATGGTTAAGATTGAGATTATTTATTTTATCACCTCTTATCTTTTTCCTACCTCTTACTCGAAGGCAGTGGATCAATATTATTTGCACTTGCAAATAATTTTGCCACCCTTGAAATGTTCCCTTGGGGAAAATATTTGTTTAAAACCACATTATCGTTACTAAAGAAGGGATTATCAAAATGACCAAGCCAGCTACTATAGATTGACAAATTTTTAGTAGTTTTCCATCTTATGTCAAATAGGTTGTGATAAACGACATTCATCCATCTGAAGTAGAGCTCACAAAGCCATATATGACAGGTTTTAACTATGAATTTCAGATATATTATGACATGAAATATGCTTGTGACCTAAAGTATTCATGTTCATAAAGTCACGTATCTCTTATGATTATGATATGAAATATGTGATTTGTGACTTTTCTTCATATATTTTTTGACTTGATTTATTTCATTTTTCTAACTAAGTTCATTGTTCTGTATGCTATGTACGATCGACAGACGTGTAGTACTTGAAGCTTAGACAACAAAATCAAAACATTAGGATCTATAAAACTCAAGTGGGCACAAGTGGGTCTACTTCCCACTGTCAAAGGTACATGTTCAAGATCCAAACGATGATTTTGTAGATCCATTACTGCAAAAATAGAAAGGGGCTGCTAGCTTTAGCATTCATGTTGTCCATCATCTTGATTGCTAATGTGTCGAAGTAATTAATTTCATCATTTACAAGCATAAGAGCCATTTTATATACAATCCCACTGACAAAATGTATCAGGAATGTGGTAGATTGAAGTAGTTGATAGATGAGGAAATAACTAAGCTTCGAGTGGAGAACAAATGGCTGAAAGAGGAGTTTATGTCGATGAAGTTAGAGCTGCCTGGCATGAATGACGAAGTGCATCATTCAAAAAGTTCTTTGAAACTTAATAAAGTCATTCGGATTCAGAATGTGTTGAAAGATGGCTTGAGCGACATCAGGTCGTCTCTTAAATCTTTTGTTGAATCTTTGTTTGATATTTTATCTTCGGTGATGGATGAAGTTCAGATGAAGTAAAGTGGTAAAGATGGTTCGAGGGAACAAAAGTCAAAAGTGATGATGTCACATCAAACCTGAGCTAAAAGATGATGATGTGGTTGAAAAAAAGAACAAAGTTACATGGCACCTGAGTTTTCATATGACTTCCATGAGATCTACATTCTCTAATCTCCTTCATTTGATCTAGGTATTGGTTTTTCGCAGTCTTAAAATCTCTAATGATACATTCTTTGCTAGTAAAGAAATGTAGGAGTAGGTTGATGAGGTTATTGCACGTGTAGAGGAGTTTACTGAACTTTGTATCGAAGATGTCAGCTTAATTAAATATTTAGCCCCCATTTGTTTCCCAATTTTGTCCATTAAAATGAAAAATATGACCGTTATCCATCATATCAAGTCACCATATTTGACTTTCTATCTCTTATGTGGGGGCCCGTAATGACTATATTTTTCATTTTCATTTTTACATTAATGTGTACCAAACGCTGCCTTAGTATTTCATATTATAAATTTAGATTGATTGTCATACACTAATTTGAGAACATTTCCTTTTATATTTTTTAATTAGGAAGATACGTCCGCACCTCCATCATCTAGACTGCTTGTGAAGAGAGCACAAAAGGCATTAAAAACTTTGCAGTCACATTTCTTTAAGGTCGATCCATGTCATACCACTACTGGGGCAAAATCAAAATCGAAAAATATTCCGTTGCAAATTTATTCGAAGGAAGTTGATAGTGCAGATTTAAGTTCATTCCAAAATTGGTTTGATAAAGGGGTTTGATAAAGGATACAAATTCAAGAACATGTACATTAAATGTAGATTATAAGTGGTTTTGTGTCAAGTGTGACATGTCAATATTTTATTTGACCATAGCATTGTTGGTCACAAAGAAATAACTTGGTCACAATCTTATTTATTTGTTTAATGAGTGCATACATGTGTGTATAGGGAAAAGTTCAACGATGCAGATAATGTGATAAGTCCTCAACTTATGTGTGGTAATGTCCTTGTTTACCATAAAACTTGGTGGCATACTTTGATTTTTCTAATTCAACATTGAGTAGTATGGTACAATATTGCTACCATTTTTCACATATGTATATTAGTTTACATCACTCACGTATGTTCTTTGTTATTATGACTCTTGGATGCATGCTTTCGTTATACAAGACAACTTGTCAAGTTTGGTGAAGGTGTGAAAATGGAAGCAACAACTACAAGCTGTATATTTGATATAATAATCCAGACGTTATACTCCAAATTTGTTCACGATCCTAGCATTGTGAATGAGAAGGATGACCTAATCAAACCATCAATAGTGAACGGTTATCATTCAACACTGCTTGAAGAGAAGTTGAATCCATGTTGATGCCCATTATGCCTACAAATTATGCTCATTAGATGCTAGGGCAGTTTGACATTAATAATCACATCTTGTATGTATTCAATTCAACTAAAAAATCATACAAGGATAATAAGGTTCATGAAAGGGTCTTACCACTTGTGAAGACCCTTACACATCTACTAAAAATGGTCGGACTATGGACGAAAACTATTGATGATATGTCGGGACATATCCAAAGACTTGTGTGTTAACGTTGTCAATGGTTTACCTCACCAAGAAAATGGGTAAGTTTCATTATGGGCATTACAAATTTTGTCATTTTTCATCAATATTTTATAGTTACTATGGCTCGTCTATTTAAATATTACATGCATGATTCTAGTGTTTCCATAAAAGTATGCATAGTATTTGTTGCACAATGATCTTGCCAAAATGCCTTTGTCATTTGATGTTGGGGATGCCATACTTAAAATTGTTCCTTTGTTGTTCAAAAATAGACAACTAAGCAGGTTGTAAAGAGAAAATCAAAGTCAGAAGACTAAACTATTGTTGACGGAATTCTTTTTATGATTGACGGAATTCTTTTTATGATTGACTAGGTTGATAGCTGTTCAGAATTAGACAAATAAGCGTTTATATAATGTAGTCAATAGATGTTATCTTTATAATATGTTTTTGAATTGAGTGCAAATTTGTTTTTCTCAAGTAGTTGGTACAATGGAGGTAAAAGTATTAGTTTTTATGTGAATGATTTTGTTTATACCATCTAAGCATTTTATGGAGGTAAAAGTTTATATTTGCATGTGTCTGAACAAGTTACAAATAGTTACATATGGTTAATGTCTTACATAATAGCAAGTCACAAATGGTCACAAATAGCAACCGTTGGTTAACATGTTACATACTAATAGGTCACAAATGATTGTGTAGCTTAATGTATAGGAGTTACACATTTGTCATAAATAGTAAACATAGAATTGGTCACATCTAGTCGAAGATAACATTCAGAGTTAGTTTGAGCACGCAAATTAATTAAATCAAATTTTATTCATAGTCCATCACAGGCAACCACAGTAAAAAAAAATAAAAATAAAAAACCTATAATTTATTATCGTCTTTTATGCTAGAAATGGTCACAAATAGTCACAATCATCACAAACAAAGTCACAATCAATGTCTTGTTATCCAGAAACACCTTTGACATCTTGAAATAAAATCCAAACTCTATACTTAAGTCTGTCAACTCAATTGGCAATCAAATGAAACAATTTGCAATTACACAGAATATCCTCACGTAAAAATTATGATAATCTATTTGGATTTCTTTGGATCTTTCTTCGCTTTCAATTTTTTCATGTTCTAGTTAAGGGGCACCATGTTCTTGCATAACTGAGGATTGTGAGTCTGTGACCGGATTTCACCGCATCTTTCACATTTCATAACTTGTGATCTTTCA